ATTAATCGCTCAGCTCCTAAATCCCGTGGCGCAGCTGGCCTCGAAATGTTTGTACCTACGTATTGCAAAGTAAAGCGCACAGTAGAGGGGACCTAGAGGGGACGTTCAGGGGACGTTCAGGGGACGTTCAGGGGACGTAGAAGGGATGCAGAGGGGACGTACAGTCCTCTGGGAGAGGATTAGGTCGGACATATTGAGAGCTTCCAACTCCCTCTTTCTCTCTCTCTCTCTCTCTCTCCACCCAACACCCACCACAACTACCATTGAGCTTCGAGGTGAACGTGAAGCTACTACTGGTCCTGCAGTGCGAACAACCTAATAAGGTTTTGTCTTTTTATTTCTTTTCTCTTCTTTTCTTTCTACTTTATCTCTTCTTCTTATTATTCTTTTTCTTTTTGTCACTGTGAAAACATTAATATCAAACCTTCATTTCTTTTTTTATCCCTTATTCCCGCTGCTTTTCATATATTACGTTTCTCTATCCATGCGTTTAATGAAAGACAAATGAAATAATGGAAAAAAATCAAATACGTATATATATATATATATATGGACAAAAATTGAAATATTCTGTTTGTGAGAGAAATTTGTAAAAAGGAAAAAGCAAGAAATCGAAAAAAAAGCAAATAAAATAGAAAATCGTTATACAATTCACGACGAAACTGATTCATACAGGTCGTACGTGCAATGAAGTTGCTTGTGAAATTGGTGATTGGCAAAAAAAAAAAGGAAAGCGATATATAGGTATACGTATACAAAGAGGGATAGGGAAAGAGAGATATGCAGCTGTAAAAAATTCGAGCTGTATTTCGAATGATCGAGATAACAGTTCTAAAACGCAGTCGATTTCGAACGCGTCGGCACAATACAGACAGATGACGGTGGAATATCCCCCTCGATGGTATTGCTGACGGGATGTACGAGTCAATAATTTCCTCACTCTAGCATTTTATGAGGGAGTATTATATGGGCGCTGGTTATCGATGATTAATCTCGGTGCTGTCACTTGCAAACCCAGGATTCGCGTCTCGAATGTATCGGCGCTTATTCGCCTACGCTACCAATTCCATCCTTTCATAGAGATCGCATTCCTTTCGCATCATCGATGATTCTAACGCATTAAAATGTTGAAAAAAAAATAAAGACACAAGGGAAAAAGGGTTGGAGTAAAATTTGATGCTATGTTATAGTTTTGTAAAAAAAAAAGGGAGCTTACGATACATGTTGAAATGCCTATTAGAAGGCCTTTAAACGGTTTAAAGGAACGTGAAAGTTACGTAACGCGTCTCTCGGGAATGACTGAGCTCTACACAGCACAGTGTAGAACGGAGTAACAAAGCAACACGTTCCGTCTTTCACGAAAAAGGGGCTAGGGTAATGGTGGATTGCAATATTATTACAAGTTAATGCATAGAATCGTTCCCTCTCTAACGTTTTCGCCTCTACTTTGTTCAATGTTCTTCGTACTCTTGCGTAGAACCACGCGAACCGCACAAATATACCTTGAAAGCTCTGTTTGAGGAGAGCAAGACCAAAAGAAAGGGAGAGAAAGAAAAAGCGAACTAGGGTGCTTTCGCCATTGTCCGTGGTGTTACTTCGTCCTGCGACCCTCTTCCTCCTCGCACTCCTACGGGACTCTCAAGGCTTGCCTCCGAATAATATTTCGTTCCATTATTCATAAACATTTTATAATCTTCTTAGCACAGTGAATTATTGCCGTTCGCGCAATTGAAATAATGCGGATTCGTGGTCCATGCTAGAAGTCTTTTTCTCTTTCTTTTTCTCTTTCTTTCTTTCTTTCATTCTTTCTTTTAGCGCGAGCTTTTTTGCTAACGTGAGTATGTGAAAAACTGCAGAGAAAATGAGAGAGAGTGAAAGACAGAGAAAGAGAAAGAGGGGTAGGACGAAAGCAGTAAGGAATTGCACGACAACGAGAATAGAACGAGTTCGTTCGTTGAAGTGGCGTTGAAATGTTTCGAACCGAGGGAAAAATAATTGGACGAAGAGCCTTGTCGTTACTTGCCAAGGGAATGTAGAGCGTTACTACGACGACGAAGACGACGATGAGAGGTGGGGAGGACAACCTCTTTCTACCATCTTTGTATCCAAGGACTTACCATTCCTTTCTTAAACTCCTCGTTACCGAGAAGTCTTCCGCCACCTTTCGAACTTCCTGGCGAAGGTATGTAACGCTTTTCGTACACAGGAAGAAGAACTTTTCTCCCCCATTGCAACAAGGTTTTCATCTAACTTCAAGGTACTACGATTTTACACTGGCATCGAATGAATTTCAAACAATTTCTGCGCTTATCGTCATATTTTCGATGTTTAAGAAAAGATCTTTTAACGAACGACTAATTTTTTTTTTGTTTTTGCTATAGTTTATCTTTTAATCTGACAGAGGAATATCTAATGAAATAAAAATCAAAGAAAGTAGAGGTGAATGATAAGTAGTATTAGATCCCGATGATACAGCTAACCTAAAGCAAGATTATACGAT